GTCCCCCGCATTTCCCTCCCGCGGACCACTCACGCGCTCGCTCGGTTTCCTTTACCCGTTTTTCGGATGTAGATTCAACAGCTTTGGGTACACACACACACACTGTCTGTTCTGTTGCTCTCACTCGCTCGCTGGCTCGTTTTCACTCTCATTCTCATCCAACATTTGCACATGAAAACCATTCAGGCGATTTGTAATGAACAGTTTATCTACTACTTGAATTGTTTTCTGTTTCCAACTCTATACGGTACGCCTGAACAAGTACCGGGGAAATGAGTTTTCAACTATGGAAAACGATCATATTGACACGAGTAACGATTTTGAAATTTCTATTCGTAACTGACCAAGATGTGAGACTTGAATCTCCAAGGCATGGAGGAACAAGCTGAAAGGAGACATTTTGTGTATTTGGGATATCTCACTGCGAATTACTTATTCGATCCTAGTACGTAGTACTATTACTTAAAGATGTCAACCATAGTTATCTATTGTGATCATAAAAATTGGGTTATTGATTGGTCTGCGGCTCTTCTTAGCCGCATTTACGACATGTGCGTTTGTATATAAACACAGTTTGCACATAGCTCTATAGAAACTGCATTTTTTCTCTCTTGGCTCAGTTTAATGGCACTGGAAAAATGATTTCATTAACCGCGTGGAAAACCCGACTAATGTGTTTCTAAGTAACCCGTGGACACAGAACCGATGAATGGAATAGGACCTTTAACCATAAACACATCTTTATTCTATAGAAATAAAGTACTTCAGTGATCGGTAGATGTCCAAGGATTTTTGAGCTACTCCGTATATTACTTGTATTTGTTTAGGTACGGTCAACCGGGCGAAATGCTGCCTCAACCGATAAAAGGTTATCAAATCACGTATGATAGTCTCGCCGTATGCAATCATGCATTGGTGCGATCTTGGTGTTTGATTGTGATTATGAGAGTTTGCGATTGGAAGGGAAGGAACTAAACGGTGATGCGTAAGGGGTGGTTGTGAGTCAAATAAGTTATGTCGATGAAGTGATACTCTGGTGAACTCGATTTGGTGCATCTGAACGCGTTTTGGATTAATTTGCCGGTGCTTGATATACCTGGAGATCAGTGAGCACAAGGTGGTTGAGACTTAAACAGGAAATTGCCATCGCTCCGATCCCCTACGTCCAAGCACCCTGATTAGTTCTACAAGGCAGGCGTTCTGACATGACCGTTGTGAACGAAACAATACTAGACCAATTGTAGAAAACATGCATTAAACCAAAGATGGTGAATACACCTGGTGTCAACGATAAATAAAGTGTAGGTACTAGTTCCAGATTGTCGCGAGCATCTTTATAAACCAAGTTGTAAATGTTCTTTCAAAGTTATGATAAGTTCCTACAGGATTGACGTCAATTATTGAATATTGTGCCTGCTCATGTGACGTTTAAGGAGCACACCAATCGATGACCGGGAAAGTTCTATCTATCAGCTTCTCATCAAATGGTCAGGCGTTTCAGCCTTCACCTGCGCACTAGATGTCATAGTTAATCAACGCCCTGATGTTTTCAATCGAACCAAGAATACAGTTAGTGCACACAGGTTAAATATAATATATCAAGCAACAAACAGTCGTCTTTGAATGAAGGAAAACCGCCAGTACAAAGTCATGTATGCCGTACGCTGTACTTTGCTGGAATGTTTGGCACTGTTTGTGATCGTCTAATTTGTGAATGGTGTGCGTATGATGATATTTATCTCCAACTCGTTAGCGGATGCCATACTTATGTTCAACACATCTTCGCAGTTAACAACCAGCCTGATAGGTAATTTTGTGTCATACACCTGTACACGTTTACTCCCTAACTGGACGATAATGCAAACATTCAAGTTACCCCATTTGCAAAGAGAACTATCTGGGAAGCTCACAAGTAATGGAACTATTTGTGATGACTAAAAGAGAGCACTTAACAGCGGTTTCGTCCTGTTTGAGACTCATCAAGAATGCGTATTTTTGGTCTCTCTTTCGAAACTTAAACAGTGAATATTTGAGTACGATTGTCTTGTCCTGAAGGAACCCAAAATGTTGAGTTTTTATTTTGCAAGTAAGATTCATTCAGGTCCTGTTTTGTGATCTCGGGTGTGGAGCATGATCGTCCCCTTCACGCGTTACCCAGGTGTGCATAAAAATGAAGCTGCGTTAGGAGATCAATCACATCTAACGGTTCTATTCCCAGAAAGCCACAAAAGTCTGTTTTCTTAAGTGCGGATAATTTACTTGCCTCTTCAAGACATGTTCCTCGTGATCTCTTTCATATACTTATCCCGAGTGGCGTTTCATGTATTGGCACATGGATAAAATGGACAATTTATGCTCCTGTGTTTCCCATGATGAGCATCGATGCATAGAACTAATAAGGCGAGCACAAAATACCACCTGTCCGAGCCCGCTTGACATCAGTTATGGTCCGATTATGAAACGCTACCATGGGCATTAACCAACTCTGAACAATTCAGTCATATGTGAACATGCCATGCTGGGCAAAATGACATCCATTTGCTTGATCGCTTTCCCCCCCCCCAGCTAAAAACTGTACTTTTGCACATTCAATAAAAAAGTACAAATTAGGAGCGATAATAAAAACGAAAAACATAGTCAATCCGCTCCACAGACCTCCTGCATATTTCCAACGTGTGTAGCCACACACAAACTCCTACAATGTTCGTTACATGTATTCCAATCGTGCAGAATTGTCTGTCATTTCTCAGATTCGTTTCTACAAACGGATATATTATTGTCACCTAAATTATTACCTGATTCGACGTGATTACTCCTGAAGCCACCTCGAATTTGAAGTGATTCAATTTGTGAGTCCCAAAACCTCGTGATAAGTTACATATCAAGAATTCGTTCAATGATTTATGTAAGTGAATATCATGTATAAATTGAGCACTGAAATTACCTAAACCTAGTGGGCTCCATCAACCAGGCGTGAAACTATCACTGATTGCAAGGTAGGTTTCTCACATAACAGCGGCGCTGACCACTGAAAGAAACTAAAATTGCCTTTGATTAACACCACAGTCACATGATGAAAACGTTTCGCTTGCACAGATTTCAGTGATGAATGACACAACTACTGAATTCGTTTATTGCGGTTGGTTTCATGTTTGCATTGTACCACGATGGGTCAGTATCCATCACAGTTATTTTTCCGAATCCAAGCAATAATACTTTCAAAATCACTCTCGTTTGCTACACATGCATAGCTGACTTTCAAGACCGGTGTTCCTTGAGTAGGTACATTGCAGTCGTTCGATTTGACGATCCGTGAATATGACACCGAAAAAAAAGTTGGAAAGTGGAATTGGAAGATGTGATTTACTCATGGATAAAATTGCACTGCGTCCATTGATCCCAAGATTAAACGAAAAGTAATCTAAACCGTGAGTGTTTTTTTATTACAATGAGAAGATTTCTAACAGCCCAGAAACCCCTGCTCTCTCGAAAGTTCTTGTTCACCAATTTCGGCCGAAAGAAACGTTCAACAGACACACCTGCAATGCTCTGTACACTGTATTCGACTTAACGTCTATTGAAACTGTGATGTGGCAGAAAAGAAATCATAGCCAGACCGAGAAGGTCTATCACGAAATATTCCCAAGCGATTTCCTCAACAACGAAACGACGGATTGCATTAAGATTGCTACCCTGGACACCTCATTGACAGTGCGTATCTAGTCAACCCAGACAAAGTTTATTACAAATAAAAGAAACAAGGCAATTTAGATTAAGGAAATAGGAAGTGTTATTTAATCAAAACTAAGTTGATCGCCGTACCTCCACCGCATACCGAATTCAGTAGAGCTCTTTCCTTGGTCTGACTGACTTTAGACAAATCTTTGCCTCAAACAAGGAATAATATTTTGTGAGAAAATACAAATGATCGATGCAGACGTAGCACCTTGGTTATGCAAACGGAAAAATTCCTCATGGAATATTCTA